ACAGAAAGATATATTTGTAATAGTATATGTCACAAAAATAATATGATTTCAATTGATTTTACATATTACTAGAAAAATTGCTCCCGTGCTCCTGTTAATGGATATGCTATTGTACATGGAAATAACCAGATAAAAAGCTGTGACTTAGTGTTAAGTACTACAGGCTTGCAACACTGGGGTCCTGTTTTCAGTTTCAACTGGAGATTGTTTCCTTTGAATACTACAATTTCCTTTCACATTGCAAAAACATACTGGAAAATTAACTGAATTCTTTAAATGTGGGTGTTTTTTATGAGTAGTGATAAGCTCCAAACTCGGGGAAAGCATGGGTTCAAGGCAAACCTAGCTTATTTGGGAAAATGGTGAACTAATGCAGTCCTTTGTTGCTATAGCAGTAAATTACCAATAATGCACTTTCTGGCACAAACTGTGCTCAGGTGGCTTAAAGGGTCAATAATGGGAGTTTTCTTATGTGCCAACCAATTCGTTATCAAAGGCAGAGCCTTTTGTCAGTGTATGTTGAAGTAGATTGGTAGAGCTGACGGTTTTCTGCTTTTATTAAATTATTAATTCAATTATTATTTATTCCTATATTAAATGAGTTAAATGGTTAAACAATACATATATTTAGGGTTCTAGTTTGATGTTTTAGGGTTGAAGTTTAGTGTTTTATGTTTTTTGGGGGGGCAATGTAGCTTTTATTTTAATATAGCTCTGCTAGGATTTTTTTTTATTTAGGGGTCAGCAGTGTGAACTTGTGTCAGCGTGCCAGAGATTGTAGAGGAGGTAAGTGGGGGAGAGGCAGAACACCAGTGAGGGAGTATTTCATACTCTTCCAGAGTAGTGGAGGGAGCAGCCATAGTTTTCCACCAGATGGTACTGCCCCACAGGTACAGGCCACTGCTATACCCAGGGCCACTCCACATAGCTCAGCAGCCTGGGCATTCCTTTTACATATTTCTGCAGACTGCAGTGTTGTGGTTTGCAGCTTTTAGCTGCTGCTTTAACCTTTGTGTGGTAATGCAGGGAAAAATGTCTGAATGGGTCCAGTTTCCTGAAGTAATAGTCTCCATTTCCAGACATAAGGCCAATGTCACATGGGAGATTTAGAATCCTGCAACTCTCTGCCAGGCCCCCTCTGCAAATAAACATTTATTTCGGAAATGCATTGTTCTTCCCTGTGCTAGTATGCCAGTTATAAAGCAATTGGGCTTAATTAGGGGCAAAAATATGAAAGTGGATACAGACCACTATAATTATATATTGAAGGGAGCGGTGGATTCTCCTTGTCTTAAAAAATATGCTCAGCCGGTTCCTTCTAATAGAGCAAGCACTTCACTTTTATAGGATTGCATTTAGTACAAGGAAGGTATGTATTCCTGACACACTAGAAGTACTATTCACAAACACCAGATCAGTTTTCTTTCAATTTTATGTTAGAATAATGAAGCGCGGACTTTACAGGTCATTCTGCAATTACAAAACATTCCTTTCCAACACTACTAAGCTATAGCAAACTACTGTAATGTCCATTACATCTCTCACTTCCTGGACCACATGGTTTTCTTCTTCTTTTCCTCAGAGATACAGATTAGTTTCTCCCTTCATCTTCAGCAAAATGACCTAGAACCAACAAGGAAAGCCAGACCTTTATCTGACTGGGGTACTAAACCAGCCCCAACCAGAAAACAGGATATCTGTTACTCAATTATGGTGAGAGAGGACAGGTCAAACTTAGTACAGACCCTGTATGAGTAGACAATTCACAAAATAAAAGTAATAGACAGTGCAGTACATGCTGGCAATCTTTATAGTGGGACTTCATAGGCAATTTCATCTCCTGGTACTGAGTAATAGAACTGTTTTGTGATCTCCTTAGCAACAATTTGGGGTAGTTTATTAAAGGCAAATAGGCTGTAAATGCTTCAATGTAATTTGCACTTTGCAGAGGAAGATTGCCCTTAGTTTAGTAAATGATGGGAAACTCTACTGACTTCCATCACCCAATCATGTTCAAGAACATTTTTTTTTTAATTTTCATTGCACATGATTGGGTTTTCTTTACAAAGTAAATTTTCACCAGATTCATTAAGCTAAGGGAAAAGTAAAGTGGTAAAGTAGCCACTGCTCTAAGCTCACTCCTCTGATGGGCTACAATCTCATGTTTAGTTTACTAATTGTATTGAGATTGTAGTCCATCAAGGGAGCGAGTTTGGAACGTTGGGTACTTTACAACACACACAGGACCATGTGGAACAAAAGTAGCCACCCTCCAGAAGGAAGGACAGTGTCAGCACCAAATCAGAGATCATGCTATTAGACTTTTCTATTGCCTTATATCCTCTGCCCATGTCCCCTCCTCCGACTTTTACATTGAGATCAATAGCGCAACTATCAGTCCCACCCCTCATGCTGGAGTGTTAATACAGGATGTAATCCTGGATATTGATCATTTCTTTCCGACATCCATTAACTGTTCAAATCCTTACCTCTGTAACATTTTGAAAACAGACCCCCTCTTAACCAATAACACCACCAAGCTACTAATTCACTTCCTTGTTATCTCTCTCCTTGACTATTGCAACTCCCTGAATGCTGCTGCCAGACCCATCCATCTCACTAATGATTCAGGACCTGCCCTCTCTGCCAATCCCACTGCTAGTTTCTGATCACCGAACAATAAACATGCTAACAAGAACATACAAAGCCATCCACAACTACTTTTAGATTGTAAGCCGTCCTTACCATCTTGTCTTGAATTGTATTGTAATTGTAATGTCTTCTAAGGATGGGCTGAGTATTCGATTCGAACATGAGTTAGAATCGAACATCGGCAGTTCGAGTGCTCGCCGAGCGCCGAACTTTATGGGATGTTCGCGGTTGTTCGACCGCGTACATTCCATAATACAAAATGCACACTAAAGCTCTGATTTGTTAAAGTTTTGCACCTGACCACAGGTCAGGTGCAAGACTTTGCCCAATCAGGGCTCAGCGGAGGAGGGGCCTGAAGGAGAAAGTTCTCTATCAGGTCCTCCCCCCATGTGGGCGGGTGCAATAGCCAGGTTGCTATTGGCTATTGCATTTTACAATATCCAATAGCAGACTGGGTATGGCTCCCAGCCTGCAGACGAAGTGGAGGCAGGGGGGCGGGGCAGAGGAGCCGCTGCTGGAACGAAGAAGAGAAGCCGACGGACCGCCGGGACAGCGAGTGGACGGACCAGGAGGCCGGGACAGCGAGCGGACGGACCAGGGGACCGGGACAGCGAGCGGACGGACCAAGGGACCGGAGGCCGTTACAGCAGCGCAGGTAAGGGGGCAGTACACAATATTTATCACATGTACCGGCAACTGTATGAGGGTCGAACATTCGACCCCCATACACTTGCATTGAGTTCAAGTTCGTATTCGAACATTTTGGCTGTTCTAATGTTCGAATACGAACCGAACAAGGGGTGTTCGGCTCATCCCTAATGTCTTCCTTATATTGTAAAGCGCTGCGCAAACTGTTGGCGCTATATAAATACTATGTAATAATAATAACTCTGCCCTGAGCCACATCACCAAACGTATCTGAAAATATAACCCAAATCATCCTCTCCGCTCCGCCAAGACCTTCTTTTCTCTAGGATAAAGGATGTTTCTCGCTGCACTCCTTACCGGATCAATGAATGTCCTGTGTTCAGGTTGGTGCTCGCAGCGACGACAGATGGTGCGTGAATACCATACAAGTATCAAAAATGTCACCATCACACCAGTTTTAGTGATCAGCAAAAGTCTGTTTTAATGACCAGTTGCCTATCAAATTGCAATTTGAAATGGCAACTGGTCATTAAAACAGACTTTTGCTGATCACTAAAACTGGTGTGCTGGTGACATTTTTGGTACTTCTTTTTTCTAGCTCTCGTCACCTTTTCTCATGCTTACTTTCAGGACTTCTCCAGAGCCTCTCCCCTCCTCTAGAACTCCATACCTAAATCTATCTGATTATATCTTCTACTCTATGTGCTTTTAGTTGATCCCTGAAAAGTCATCACTTCAGGGAAGCTTTTCTCACCTCCACGTAACAACTGTACCTTTACTGCCCTCATCAATCCTTTAAATTGTAAGCTCTTAGAATCAGGATCCTCCTAACCATTTTGTATTGAATTGTATTGCAACTGTACTGTCTCTCTTTATTTTGTAAAGTGCATTGCAAACTGTTAGCATTATAAATCCTGTATAATAATGTCACATTTTAGATGAGGTACTCAAAAATCTATCAGGTAAATGTTATAAGTTTGATTAATATTTTACTATTGTCTGGTAGCCTTGTAGAGTTACATACATCATGCATTTCACTACTCTCCTACCTGCTTCTATTTCATGTGCAGTTTATGAAAATACCTCATTGTTTGCAGCCAATCGGCTTTCCTTGGCAAAGGAAAGCCCCCCTCCTCTGTGAATGTCTACGCTTGTATAGCCACCTAGTTAGTTACAGCTCTCTCCCTACTTCTTCTCCTCCCCTCCTGCTGCTCTTATAGCTGTGTGAGGCAGAGATAATGTGTGCAGTATTCAGAACAGCATGTGCATGTGTGTGAGTGCAGGGGAGATCTGATCTCTTTCCCTCTTTTGTCTGCTTTGCAGCTGCTTTATATTTCTCCCTTCCTGCACAGAAACTCTTTTACTTTCATCTGCCTCCCAATCCAGTGGGCTCCTTTTAGTAAGAAGCTCATGCTTGATTGTACTCATAAAGGGATCTTATTTGCACCAATAACACTAGAAAAAAAATCAGTCTTTCACTGCTGAAGAAATATTTGATCCCAAAGTCATAATTTTCCCTTTTTTGCCCCCCTTCAATAAATCCACACAGGCGACGGTGGAAAAAAAAAAGAGCAAAGTTGTTCCCTGGGCAGTGATTCACTAACTTTGCTGGAAAAAAAAACTAGGGAAAGCAAGCAACACACATTGGCAGATTTAAGGCATTTTCAGCGTCTGCTCCATGTGTTTAGACCATTAAGTGGATGGGGCAAGGAAAAGGGATGGGACTGCACTGCAACTTCTGCCTTGTCTATCTGTTCTTGTGTATCCTGTCATGTAAGATCAGCACAGGTAGGTTCAAAGCTTATGTTTGGTGTCAGTGTGTGTACTCATGTCTAGTGCAACTGCATCCTGTCTGCCCACATAGACAACTGACGATCCAGAACTATGGATCATTCATTGCTCCAGATCATCTTTATTTTTTTTATCTTTACCCAATGGCACTGAATCTTTCTTGCAATGTTTGTCTTTTAAGTAATTACAGTAGCTTTTGTGCCGGCAGCATCACTGTGATTTACAGACTGGGAACTGTTTGATGTTGAAACAGATCTATGTCAGGGTCAAGTGTACCTAACACAAACTGGAGACATTCTTAGAACTCTGTTAAATTCCTCTCTAGTCGTAACAGATTTCTACACTAATGTTTCTGAATAATATACTTTTCACCATTTTTTATGTATTTTGTTTTATGTTATACCCCCTATTGTTTACATAATGTAAGCTCTGAAAATGCAATGTAACTATAACCAGTTGTAGAATGTATCATCTAGCCATTATCACAACAAATAAAACCCTGTAAATGTTCAGATTTCAAGGTAGGCATGCCCATACAGGGTTTTTGCTGAAGGCAAATGACACACAGGTCAGCTAGCTGTGATAGAATCAATATGTTCTCAATGAACTAATGAATGAAACTCCTGCTGATTTTATAAAATTTTCTTAATGGTGTCAAGTTTTTAAGGGAGGGATGACAAATTATTGAGTTATACTTATCTGCCTGCAGATAGTAGGCTGAAGGCTGCTTATGCCAGATTCAAACATTTGTGGGTTACATAATCAGACAATAGGTAATGTGCAAAGTGCAATAACCCCTAGCAACCATTCAGAGCCATATTCATATTGAAATGAAATCTGACTAGTTGCTAGATATTACTGCCTTGTTGATATCATCATTGCCCTTTGCACTGTCATAATTTAGTTGAATACATGATTTCACTTAATATTTTAAAATTTGATTTAAAGTATTTTTTGATGGGACATTTAACATTATTGCAGTGCATTCATTATATGAATGCATTTTATATATAGATTTGTAAATGCTCCCTCTAGGGGCTTCTGTAAATCAGGAGGTGTAGTCAGCCTTCCTGCAGAGACACGTGTGGGTTGCTATAGAGGGTCTGAGTTACTAAAGAGTAAAGTGTATACAAACATTCAGTCATATGCAGAGCAATTTAAAACAAACTAAGCTTCTCTTGGCTATAACTGGGAATTTGATGTAAACACATATTTATTTATTCAATTAATTTCACCTCATTTCACACCTAATATAATGATACCATGCCCATACTGATACTCAAGAGAGCAACAGCAAACATAACCATACACTTGTAGACCTGAATGATGGAGACTCTTTCTGTGCAACTAACAGGCCCAAAGGAACCATTGTAGACCATCCATGGTGATGGTCAAATATGATAAGAAGGTGCTGATCTCCAATTTATATAGGGGCAATAGAATCAGCCATTTGGGAACCACACAGAAATACATATGCAGCCCTCAAAGGATGGTATCTTCCATATCACATGAGTATATAACCATCAACCAGGAAGATCAATGGCAGATGAAACATATGCCAGTGCAAACATTTCAAAGATGAGCATTTGTTTCATATAATGTGAATGGGAATTTCAAAGTGCAGTCACTGCATACCACTACTGTGCAGGAAGCATAGTCACAATGTTTAAGAGCCACTATGGCTTTCCCTATCTACTGTGCATACTCTGAACAGAGCACCCCAGTATGTAGCTGATTACATTCACAAGTATGCCTTAAACAAAAATCTTTAAAAGACTAGATTCCCTTTAAAAGAAACAACTTTAAATTCTAGAAATCAAATACATTTTTTGTATTTGATTGTAGATGCTTGCATATAATATATAAAACTGATATGAAACAATAAAAACACCTGTATTAATTGATCGTAACTACCTTTCAAGAACAATATGTTAATTTATGTTTTTATTGTACAGTTAAATGGTTGCAATCACTGTGGATTCAAGAATTAAGTTTTCTTTCAAGCTCTTTTGTAGGCAATATTTTTTTTTAAATATACAGTATGTACTGTAAAAGCTGAGAAGACAATTTCGTTTCCCGTTATTAGCGGTTCAGTATAATCAAATAGCTTATTGTGTCTATGATATAATTATTGGTGTCGGGGACTTTTGTTTTTGATATTTGGTTTGAATGGACATACAGTAAGTACTAAAGGGGTTACTGTGGTGCCATTAACACCATTTGAAAATCATACTTCCGGTGGCCAAGTTGTAACATAGATTTACAAGGTGCTGGTTTAAAGTATTATAGGGCCTGGGGCAAAGATAGTGTGTTCCAATTTCACATTTCAGAACAAAATTATGAATTAGGTAATAAGATCTTTTGAGTACTCATCATGAATATGACTGGGTTCAATGCATGACCTGATGACTTCATCTATACTGTAATTTCTTGGCTGAATGTGAGGGCAACATTTATCTAGTTATGTGTGCTCAACAGGATCCATAACAAGCAAAGCAACTATACTATGGGTTGCTGGTGTACCCATATGATTATACAGTGCAAGTAGAATTTGAATGTGCCTGGTTTTCTCAGATGCATGGGTACATATTAACTATTGTGGTCACCAAGGACTTGAATGATTGTCTTTTTGACCCATGATCATAGAAAACACAGTCATTGAATAAGTAAAGCAGTTATCTTGCAATGACTGCTTAATCATTTAGTCTAATAATGTGTTACCAAAACACATGTATGTTAGACTGGTAATAAAACAAATGAATATGTATAAGGTTAAAGTTTATATGCTGAAATTTAATGGAAAAACTTGAGGCTACCTAGTTGCCTGATGTCTAGGCTAGAACAACTGTAGACATGCCATTTCAGTCTCCGATGGAGCACTAAATGTGTTCAAAAAACTTGAATAGTTTACATTTTTTTTCAAAAATGTAGTAGTAATAGAATGTACCAATATATGGGAAACAAGATAGTGTATACAATGTTAATTTTAGCATATTTGCATTGCCACCTTATGTTCCATAAAGCCAAGCAAAGGCTTAAAGGCTTAGAGGTTTTTCTGTATTTGTTTTCTAATTTTAAGATTTAAAATGTATGCTTTAAGGTTAAATCAGTCACCCTGTAAAAGGTACCCGCAGGATGTTATGTCTTAATGCTTTTTTTAACAACATACATTTGAAAGAAACAAGCATTCCCAAAAGAACATAATTGAAAATTCCTCTAGACTGGTTTTCTGAGAGAACTCAATGGAACTCAATCATGTGTTAACATCCACATGTCCACATTTCCTCAGTAGCATATGTTAGCATTCACCCCTTGGACTGTAAAGTGCATAACTACTATTATTATTAATATAACCCTTATTCTTCTGACACGATGGTTCAGAACCCCTTCCAGAATTCACAAATTCCGGCCATCTGTGGAGTGATAGATGCTCCTCTACACCCTTATTAAGCTATTTTTTTTACCCCAGTCACCTTCCGGGGTTTCCTCCTTTTCTAGTCAGGTATTCTGTTTTCCCCTCTGGGGTTTTTTTTTCTTTCTTACTCCTGTCCTGGTCTCCCTCAGTGGTTTGCTTATCTCCATAGTTGCTGTGCCGAAAGGACACGCCCCCTCTCTCTCTCTCTCTGGGCTCTCTCCTAATGTTTTTGGATCCCCATGAGGGGACCCCTGGGTCCTGTTCATCCTTTTTTTCCTCCATATGCTTTGTCCTGGTGTAGTTGTAGCACCTGGACCATGGGAGCCACACCACTTTCTGCAAAATATATTTATATGTTTATGGGTTTATTTGTTTAAAAAAATACTTCACAGTATTTAGATCCATTGTATGGAATTACCTATTATTATTATTATTATTATTACATTCTGTATCCCTCTATGGCATGTTACCTCCTAGTGCTTTTATTTAATCTAGAATTTATAAATAAAGAATTGAAAAAAAACAGCCCTTAATAAAAAATATTACCAATCATCATTTGGGATGCGCCGAAATTTCAGCCGCTGAAACATGCAGCTGAAAATAAGGTGCATCTCTGGCTTCTCTCCTCCCCACTGGGCACCAGTCCCCTCCGATCCCCACTGCTTTCCCCCACCTGTGTCAGCAGAGGCAGCCAAGATCTGAGTGGACACAAACCGGCATCCAGCGGGGAGGAGAGAAGCTTTCAGAAGGTCGTGCAGGGCAGTGCGGGGAGGAGACAACTCTCAGGATGCTGAGCATGGTGGTCCAGGGAGGAGAGAGCTTTCAGCTGTCACTGGAGGCCAAGCTCTCTTCCTGCACCGTCCCACTCGGCCTCCTGTGACAGGCGGGGGAGTCAGGGTGGGGTGCGGGTTACAAGCACTCAATGATCAGAACTGATCGCTGAGTGTTTGTAAAAAAATTGAGGCAAAGTATTCTTACTATGTTCCCAATTAAAAAAGTAGAGGAAGTGCTCTACTTCACTTCCTGTTCATTCATGATTGTGGACATAGTAACTCCTCAGTTTATGAATTAACAGGAGAACTCAGTATAAAGGCTTCCTGTTCATTGATGACAGGGGCTGCAGAAAAAGAGATTTAGGCCCTCAATCTCTTTTACTATTTTAAAAGGGAAATATCAGGGGTCTGTTTAGACCCTGATATTTCCCCAAAGCCCCTAACAGTAAAGTGAAAAAAATAATAATGAAAATAAAATAGTTTTAAAATAATTTAAAAAAAATTTAAAAAGGTTGGGAAAAAAAGTAATTTTCAGTTTTGGCCTGACAAATTTTTTATTTTCGGATTCGTTTTCTGTTTAAAAATTTCATTTTGTTGCATCCTTACTCATCATTGTTTGTCTGGGCAAAATATAAGCAAAAAACCCCCCAATATAATTAGTACATGTTTACAATACATGCACATTTCGCAATGTTTTTTCATTTTTAAAATGGTACAAGAACAGAGACATACCTGCTGATCTGACAGAAAATAATTTCTTACACCGCACTTACTCATCTCAGTCTCATACTCAGAAATCATTAACTAGATTGCACAGCCGCGTGGCCAGGCCTACACAGGCACGCTATACTTTCCATTTATTCCCATAGATCTTCCAAGTATGAGCTCATACTCAGAAGCTCCATAGGGATGAATGGCTCCATAGGAATTATTTTGATTACAGAGTAAATTCGCAAATGCAAGACTGGGATGGTTGTTGGGAGAGGGGGGCTACATGAAGGTGCAGTTACAATTAAAGCATGGTTTCCTATAGTTTTTGGCTTAATATACCTTTTCAGAATATGTTCATTGGATATAAGGCACATACTGTACCATAAGTGGTTCTTTTTTTTTAATACCTGTTGTTACCATCCTTTAGGATCCATTTGCATCTCTAACACCATAACTTTGTGTTTGTGAACCTATGAACCTCCTAAAAAAGCAACTTACTACTATGCCATGCAAGAATAAAAATAACTTTTAGGCTAGTTCAGTAAGGGAAAGCAAAGCACAATGATGGTTTCATAAAGTTTAATAACATGGTTAGTCACTGAAGGGTGAAAAGTTTGGAGAAGTGAACCATCTAGGACAAAATAGTTGATTTGGAAAAAAGTCTCTAATTCAGCTCACTTTCCAGTTCAGCTATGTTGTCCTAGATCCTGCCTTCTCCAAATTCTTCACCCTTTTGTGAATAACCCAGATGATGTCTATTCTGGTTAAAGTTTACTGTTGTCAGATCAGTTATGAGATGATCCCTGATGAATCCCTGTGGGTTTTTGCTTTCGCATGTACATTTTTCTCTGCCCTGCCTCACAAAATAGGAACATTAAATTCAACTTACAGAGGACCTCTACTGTGGACCTGTACTGTGGCAAGCAGAGGGCAAAAGACTAGTTACTAGTATTGCCTGTAGGTTGCTCATCTTTTGCACATTAAATGATTTATAATGCATTGTTCCATACTGTGTCTCTGTGTGGAGGTGGTCAAAATGGTAGAGGAGCAGGACTTTGCTTCCTCATGTCCAAGCTGCTCCTTTAATGGCTGGTGATCTGATGATCACTAGGTTAATGACTAAGAAGCAGCAGGGGATCTGGAGGAAGCACAGATCTGCAGAATGAATGAAGCACAGTCAGGTAGATCTTTGCACTGCAGGTCTTCAGGGCCTGTTCAAGAAGAACTGTGAGCAACGCAATAGTGACATTAACAAATCTTGTGAGACTAGGGGGTTGATTTACTAACCTTATAAACACGCCACAAACAAGTATACACCTCTGTAGTGTGTTCCCTCCCAGCATGATCTATTGGTGGAATCTAGACACCTTTGTAGTGTGTACACACCCAGCAGGTGTGTTGTGCAAAGCCCTGCATGAATGGCAAGGTGATGTTGTGTAAATTAGCTCTACATTGTGTTGCTTGCGTTGATGAATGCAGGAATGTAAATGTCTGAGCTAACCATTTTTGTCTAAACTGTGAAGCAGCATTATATATGCATCATGTGCATACATTTTCCATATATGGCATTAGTGGAAATATGCTTTTAGAGACTTTTTGGATGATAAATACGTTTTGCTGTGTAAAAATCACACGCACCTAGTGCGTGCGTGTGTTTAGGTTAGTAAATCACCCCCTAGCTGTCAGAGGTAGCAGTGCCTTAAATAATCTTACACTGCAGATATACAGCTTTGTGGCTCAAGGCAGAGGAGTGCCTAGATACAGTCACATGTCAGAAATTGCACTGACATTTTTCAGGGGTATTTTATTAGGCAAAATTAACCTTTGCATATATATTTCCTGTAAGATAGCAAATCTTCACTTTTTAAGCATAGGTTGACTTGGATGAAAGACGTTTGACAGAAATAGTTGATTATATAGATTGTGCTGTGTGTTGCAGTGTGGAAGGCAGAATAGTAGATGAAGACCTTTATTAACAGGTTTAGGTTTAACCACCATCTTTATAGATACTCTGTTTCTGTTGAATTAATATTTATTTTGGTTTAGTTTTATTTGAACATGTACATTATCTTTTAAATTACATAGTGTCCTTTTATTATATTTAAGGTCTTGTCTTGCCCTTCCAATGGGATGAGGAATCAGAGGTGGTATTTCCAACAGTCTGGGGCTCTCAGGAATTGAGACAAGTACGAGAAGGAAGAAAGAATGTTGTGGTGCTGGAAATTCCTGAATCTTATAGAAACCACAGTACTGAGGATCTGTCTTTACCAAATAACCAAGCTGTCAGTTCGAGAGAGGTACGATCTGTATCCTCTTCATCTGCTCCGACTTTCCTTCACCACCAAATGGATCAAGAAGAAGAGCAATATTATGAACATGATTCTCATGAGTTTTATCATTTTTCTCCGTTTCCCTGGTTTTCCGGAAAAAATAATATAAATACATCTCCTCCAAGTACGTCATCATCGCTTTCAGATGATCCCCAGGACAAGCCCACTAGTTCCTCACAGCAATCGGTGGATAGTAGTGGAAAGATGAAAATAAAGATCTCTGCCTTTGGGAGAGACTTCTATTTACTACTGAAGAAGGATAATCGCTTTTTATCTCCAGGATTTGTGGTTGAGGAAAGAAGGAGGGAGAAGAGGGAGTCGCTAAATACTGGAGATACAGACAGGAACTGTTACTATAGTGGTACTGTTCTCCGCTATCATGGCTCCTTTGCTTCCTTCAGCACTTGTGGTGGATTGGTAAGTCTATGGTGTTAGTAAGTACAATCCATAATTATGATTAAATACCAACTGAAGGAAACTGGTGAAATAATTTTCAAACTGTGCTTTCTAGAGAAATTTCATTTAACACATTCCGTTTAAAATACTTTGAGGTTTATCTTCTTTGCAGTCAAACTGGACAGGGTTTTCTGGGTAGTACGGCATCCTGTTGCCACTGCTTCAGTAATATGCAGCCTTCCTCCACCATTACTAAATATCTATTAGAGACGTGTGGCACAGCAATGCCTGTGTTCTGGTCCGATCACAAAAAATAGTACATGCAATATTTTTTGCAATTGCTCCAGACTGGAACATGGGCATTACTGTGCCACGCGTTCTGGTGTGGGTGATCGCACTGCGGGTGTGGGGGAGATATCTCTGAGGTGCCATTGAACGCAGGGAGGCTTCCACTATGCGTTCCAGTGCGTTCCAGCATGATTAGTGGAGATGGTGTGAACTGGCCCTAAATGTAATGCTTCTTGTAGACTGCTGTGAGGATAGGGCAAGGAATAAAACATTATTTCTATCTTAATTATATGGGGCAAGCATAATTACAATGGAAAGCGACATTAGTGAGCAAAGTCTAGAAACCCTGGAAGAACTACAGGCTCATATCAAGGGGTTTCCACCCCGGGAAAGAACCAGATTATGGGCAACCAGAGGATTTTACCCAGAGTGCCCTGACATACTCAAGCAATAACGGATTAAGAATAAAAATAATAAATAGTTTGCTTTACCTGTATATATATTTTCATAATATTGCTTTGTGGTTTAAATGGAGTATACATTTAAGACATGACTCGTTGTTCCTTTACTTAGAAACAGTAACATTGTCTATATATATAATAGCTACTGTATATATGCCTTTGTTCATACTCAAGCAATAACGGATTAATAATAAAAATAATAAATAGTTTGCTTTACCTGTATATATATACAGGCTATATAGAGGCTATATAGAGGCTATATAGAGGTAACTAGAGGCTATATAGAGGCTATATAGAGGTAACTATGGGCATTTTTTTCAAATTGGTATATATTATCACAGCTGTTCAAGTAAGCTGAATGCCAAGCAGATGAGTAGATATGAAATGTAAATGCAAGTACCTAAATCTGACTTGATTTCAGCCTCTTGGAATTCCTTACGTAGTAGTACTCAGATTGGGAGAGGGAAGAACAGGCCTAACATCCAATTACATAACCTGCATGCACATGTGCTGACCAGGGAGTTGCTGGGAAGTGGATGGGGGAGGAGGAGCTCATTGGTGTGCTGTTACACTTGTACTGCGCAATCACAGGCTGGGGGTAGATACTTCACTTAGAAATACTGTATAACTGCAGTTATTAAAAAAAGTCACTAACCCAGCTGAAAGGCTGTATACATCAAAGGACTGGAGGAATTAAATTACAAATCCTCTGAGATAAAACAGCTCACTTGTTTGTATCTCAGTGGTGTTCTTAGCAATTTGCCTGGAGTTTAGCTTTAGAGGTGAAAACCCCTTTAACTTTAATAAAAGCAGCAGCAGCAACAACAGCAAACATTCAGCTGCATTTAGTAATCAACAAACTGTTGCTATCTTTGATATTGCACATAGTTTTCTCGCCATTTAATAATCATCAGTAATGATCCTGTATATGTGGATCCTGCATGTCTAGACACATGCATTTTTAGCCTTTTCTCTACAAATGACACACTTGCACATGTGAAGCATGCCTGGAAAGCATCACTGAAGAGCAGGGGCTGACTGGCAACTTTTAGCCCAGGGGGCAAGTACAACCCAGAGGCCCATGGTGCGGCAACTTGGTCCCCCTCCTGCTCTGCCTCTTCCCCGGCTTCTCTTCTAATACATTCATCCCCGATTTCTGGGGACAGTCCCCAGATTGAGGAGCATCCCCATACAAATTATGTCCCCGGGAACATAAAATAATACATTTTTTTTTTTTAAATACTCACCTGATCGACCGCCAAGCAACACAGAGGCCCGGGGGGCAATTGCCACCCTGCCCCGCAGCCCAGTCCGCCCCTGCTGAAGAGTAAGATAAGACCATGTAACTTATTCCAGTGCTCGCTGCCAACTACGATGATTTCAAAATGCTCTTTGCTTCCATTACTGGATTTTTCTGTTTTGTTGAGTTCATTGCCTTAGTTATGACAGATATATTTCCTAAAAAATAAGCTTGGTGCCACTGGTTCTCTGCATTATCACCAACCTTTATCATATGTTTTGATCAACATTGACTGCCGATCTACTGGATACTTTTGGTTTGACACTTTTATTGCAGGGCTTTCAAAGAAGAACAAGTCTGCAAAATATAATCTCTGCACAGGGGGTATGCTTAAACAACAGAATGGAAATCAAGAATAATTTTAATATAGAACATAAGTATAAACACAAATAAGCTTTTCTAGTTGCCTAACATTGTATTGTTAGTGCCATATTGGTAATAAACAGGCTGCAGCATGCAATGCACCAAGCAGTGCCTTTAGCTGTCCTCTCAAGCCACCCCACATTTTGTGATACTCTGTTATGCAAATTTCAGTATTACATGGAAGTGGGAAGGATGGGCTGTCCCTTTCAGATACTGCACCCTCCTTTTAGCCCATCACTGTTTCTGGCCAATAGGACGATGTCAGAGGTGGATGTGTATATAGAATTGTATTAGATCTAATAGATGGTACATGTCTAAAAGATTTAAAGTTGAGGATAGGTTGACATGTACACTAAATGATTTACATATTCTGAACGAGCATTAACAGCACTTTATACAAGCCCTTATTAATCTCTGTATATATATAGTGTTATGTGAAGAAAGTTGACAACACAGGCAGTGAAATCTTAGCTCTTCTCCTATTACTTTTTTCTAGCAAAAGTGTCCCTGTTCCCTGAATGAGCTGAATACAAAAGGATATACTGTATAACTGCATTGGAGGAGAGCACAGAAGAGAGGCAGCGGGTGCTGAGGCATGCATCAGTGCAAAGGCAGCAAGTCACAGAGATGGGTGTTGGTGTAGAGGAGAGTGAAATGGGGCACATAGGAGAATAAGGGGGTCATGGGCAGTTGTGAGAGTGGGGGTGGATGTGGAGATGTGTCAGCTGTAACTCCAGAAGTGGGAGAGTTGGCAGTGTGAGCTGCCAGGCCACAGATTACAGTGCCTTTGTAACCTTCAGCAGAAGATGGAAAGTAGGGAGGTGGGTTGTGCTGATGGGCCAGAAAATAGAAGGTCATGTCCCATTGCAGCATAGACTTACCTGCTGCAGAGAGCACACAGAAGTGCTTCCCGCTGGAAATGTCTGTTGTAGACAGCGTTGGTCTATATTAAAACACTGATGCTACATGCATAGTAGTCATACAGTGTTATTAACTTCCTGATACTGAGGCTTATTCCAAAGACACTACTCGCCCTCCCCCCAGAGTGGACCTGGCATTTAGTAGCAGTGCTGCTGATCCTCTCTAATATGCAGATACCAGCAATCAGCTCCCAGCAAAGGAAGTCTCCCATCACTAATAACTTATTTGTGGCTCCTACGTGTTACACCTACTAAAGAGAGCTACAAGAGAGTTATTAGCGAAGGAAGGTTTTCTGTGCCAGGTGCTGATTGCTGGTATGTGTTACAAGGAGATCAGCAGCACTTTCACTAAATGCTGGGTCTTGAACCCCCTGCCTGTACATGTACAGTAGAACCTCATTGATTTCTCTGGGTCTCCCATGCCCAGAGTAGTCGATGGATCTAACCTACTGCACACAGGCAGGGGAAGTAGAAGGCCCACCAGGCACTGATAAAAATTGCAGCAGAATACTGGTGGATTTGGGGCAAAAACTGTCTGAGTATACAAAAGGGAAACGGTAGGTGAGATCAGCACAGTGTGAGGGGTAGTGAAGGGTGGGGAAACATTCATAAAATGCTGTTTGAAAGCTTCCTTGATGCTGAGAGCCGCTGACCCGGGCTCGGGTCCGCAGAGGGGACAACAGAGCCCGGGATTAGCGGCAACAGCTGTGGAGGGGGCGCACACTGCTGAGCACTATACAAGCAATCGAGTGGCTATAGATCCGTCGAACGCTTGTATATGTAACAACCATTACTGGATTACTGGATATTTACCCCTTATCAGTGTGTTTTGTTCATGCATGCGCAAGGGGGCATGCACAAAGCAGAAAGAAAAAGCCATATATTTACAGCATCCCGCTGGAAGGAGCTTGCCGTCCGTCCGTTTATTTACAACGGGCGGACGGCAAGTAGTTAATATCTATAGTCTGGGAACAAGTGCACTTTTATGGGAATGGCGTACTATAAAAAGTAAGTGAAGTACACGAATAGAGAAATTCAAGGAAATTAGACAAAGAGAAAA